AGAAAGCTATTTTCCGTATGTGTTTACCTTAGAGACTTGCATGTTATTAGCCTTTAGGCAACTCCCATCTAATCTCATGAGTTTTCTCCTGAGTTGCGCTACTGCATAATAACATTTATTATGCAGCAAAAGCCCTCCACCAATAGGAGGGTGACACAATCTCCTTGCACACTAACTCCCTTTATACTTTTTGCCTCCCCCACTTCCAGTGCACTTTAGACATTCTTGCTTCATCAGCAATGAAAATTCACGAGTGAGGGTGGAAAGTATGTGAAGAGGCATCTTTCAGAAATACATTTTCAGGTAAGGAAAATGTTAACTTAGAAGACAATACATACCAAAAACTAGAATCCCACATTGATATGTTGGAGGGTCTGGTGCAACTACTCTTCAGAAAGTGCCCAAAGGAAACCCATGGAGTGTGACACCTGATGGCAGGGGCTCCATAAGGGTACATCCATGGGAAATTGCATCTCACCTCTTCTAGGGTACATTGTTTGCTCAGAAAAGAAGGGAGGAAGAAACAAACAAGCCCAATGTGTTGCAGATATGGGTGTAATAGGAACATGGCCTACAAAGCATTGGAAACAAGAGGTCGGAAAGCCAATATGTGTAGTGAGATTGGGGTGCACTCAGACCATACCTAGTGCATACCTCAGATGTTACTGGACCGACACCAGTTGTGGGAGGAGGGCATGGAAGTCATGTCATAAAGTATGTAATGTTAAGAGTGCATGCCTCAACTCAACTTGACAATCCTGCTGCAGGAGAACAGTGTGATTTATTAGTATATGCTCACCTCAACTCTACTGAACAGATGCAATTGGAGGAGGAGGGCACAGTATCATACGACACATTTCTGGTATGTTGTAAGTATATGTGTATAAGTGTAAGTGCACTAAACTAACAGTATCTCTACCACCCCACTTCCCACTGATTGGTACCCCTTATTCTAGCCGCAGAAGTCAGGTCCTAATCAGTGAGGGTTCTCCATCCCAGCAGCTAGAAATTGGCAAGTGGTAAGGAGAGGAATTCACTGTGGGGACACCTGAAAAAAATGTCCAGATCCCCATTGGTTTTGTTTTAACTAGAAAGGTCTTTTACTCGAGACAGTTAAATGGGTGACTGCATAACCCAATTTCAAAAGTCAGCAAGCACAAGCCAGGGAAGCAGACAGAGCACCCCCTGGTGCTGGCTTTTTCCAGGATAGTCCATGGAATAAGTACAGTCTGGATTGGACAGTAGTCAGATGTCAGAATATACCATGATGATACCTCAGGTGGTCTTGCAAAACACCCCATTTCAACAATGGGTACATACGGAGCCACTGCAGATGGTATGAGCACTTTCCATTATCCTGGTTCAATGCACAAATTTCAGAAATAAGTGTACCCTGGAAAGCCCCACCTGCCACCTGGTGGGATCCTGTAAGCAAATGCTATAATCAGAATGGGAATGTACTCACCTGTTTAAAGATGGTGAGTAGACTGTAGAATGGAAAATGGAGTCTTAAGAAGATAAGACAGCCAAATGGTGAAGAGAGTGGATGAAGAAGTTATCCAAGTCCACATGCTAGCTTGGAGGATCTCATTCAGCAGCTGTTGGAAATGAGAGAGGTGTCGATTCTGATGGGATGAGATATGGACTGTCTGCGAGCAACAACATCCTATGAAAAGTAGACCAAACATAGAAATTGGCAGACCCTACCTATAAGGGTAGAATAAGATTTGTCCTTGGAGGAAGACAACTCCCACGGAATGTAGAGTTGAAGATGGAAACCCCAAAAGTGAGATGTATGAGCTAAGTAGCAACGAATGACAAGAACAGGGCACAAAAGTCTGTCTGGGTCCAAAAAATTATAGAAGAGTGAAATAGAAGGAAGAGAGAGAGAAGAAAAGAAGTAATCTCCTCTTTGTGCAGCTGAAGACTCAGGGAGAAAGGACAGGCCCAGAGGAATAAGAATTTAAGGATGATGGAAAGGGGTACAGGATGAGTCAAAAGCATAAAGATCTGAATGACGGTAACTACAGGTGAGAAGTAAGAGGAATATTTCTGAAGAGAAAAGTTGTAGAAGTTGCAGGTTGCCGACAGCTTGAAGGGGCAAGGGTAAGAGCATGCAGGATAACAATGAGGTCCCAGTCAGGTATAGGAAAAGGGCAAGTGTGTCTATGGATAAGGAAGGACCAGAGCAAGGCAAAGAGAACTGGGGTGGGAAACACCTTGTGATATTGAGAAAGGTAAAATGTTGAAGATAAGGCTGCCCGACAATTAGCAATGGTAAAGGCAGCTGAACTCTCTCGAACAATGAAGTAAAAGGAAGGGAGATGTCCAACAGTAGGATAATCAGGAGGAAGGTGGTGACAGATGGACCAACGTTGAAAGCTATGCTTTTTACACAGATAGAAAGACTAAATAAAAGGATGCCTGGAACAGGAAAGAAAAAGATTACCTGATTGAAAATACCAGTTTAATGGGTGATGAACTGGACAAATCCAAACATAAAGGTGGAAGGACAAAATCCCTTGATAAAAAGCAGATGGGAGATGTTGAAGCAATAGTGTTATAATTGGCAGGGGAAGAGGTGGTTGGGTTGTCAGGTGTCATAGAAGAGGGAACCAAGGTCAAGCCAGCCACAAGAGTATCACCAAGAGGACACAACAAGAAATGTCTCAAATCAAGGCCAGGACTCAAGGTAAAATATGGAAAGGTGGGTGAACATTATGACAAGTATAAGACCAGACCTGACAGAAAGCAGCAACAGCCAGGGCTGAGGGATGAAGAACAGATTATCAGAAACATGAAATTGAGAGGGTTGGCAAAGCCATGATGAGTGGGGTCCACAAGAGAGCACCCAAGTGGAAACTATGGGAGAAAAGACCCTTTTATGGGCAGAAAAAGAGGGAATTTGCAACCTAGCACCTGGTACATGGTAGGTGAGGAAACCAATGCATTGAGAATTGGTCCAATAAGGAAGATCCAGGATTTACAAGCAAGGGGCTCTGGATTATATTCCTATCACCAACCGATTGGTGTTCAATGTAGGAAAAACCAAGGAATTGTCAGAATGGAACATAACAAAATGATCCACTAGGTGTAGTAATAATAGTATTATGCCCAACAGTCTGCCGGAAGTTCAAGCACATGGATATGGAGAGTAGACTCGTCCTGAGTTCATGTGCCATATGTAAAATTGTCATTCAGGAATGCTCTCCAACAAATCGGGGAAGCATGGGTGAAGAGTTGTAGGTCCAGCATGGGTAGAGGTAATGAAACACAGAGAGTGACATTGGATTAGTCCAACCACCCATAAAAATACTAGCACAGAGGGACAGGAAAACAGATCAGAGATGAATGTGAGGCTTTCCTCTGGTCATCAAAGGACCAACTGAGTAGGTGAATATGTGTGTGTGACCCAATGGGATAAGAACTCTCCATGGTTTCCAAACAATACACCTCTCACACAGAATGAGTAGGATAGGTGCAAATCTTAGTGACTATAAGTTCCATAGTTGTAGGCAGATGGGAGAAGGCTGATTCTGCTTGAGAATGGAAGTGTGAATAAGATATCAAGTGGGAGGAATTGTTGGAAGACAAACACAGGACATAAATGAGGGTGGAAGGTGGAAATCAAATAAGATGATGGCTGCAAGGAACAATCAAATTTGTTCTCTTCATTCTCCTCACAAAACATAACTTGTGTGAGGAAATATGTCACTCACACAAGTAGTAGGACAAGTTACATGAACTAGTATTTTCATAGTTTGAAGAAGAAAAGAAGGAAATTAAGTTTCCTAAACATCGTAAATCTCATTAAGTTGACAAAGAAAAAATACATCTGATGCATTCAGTGCCAAGAAAAAGAATGAAAATTCACAAGTGCAAAAGCATAGAGACAGTTAATGCACAGGGAGGCTGTGTTGCCCTTATATTGGTGGAGGAGTTTTGCCGCATAATAATGTCATTTGCAGTAGCACAACTCACGAGAAAAACTTGTGAGATTAGATGGGAGTTGCCTAAAGGCCAGTAACATGCAAGTCTCTAAGACAGACACACAAGGAAGATAGCTTTCTGTGTGTAGAAGTGTATATCATCTCAGAAACTGATTTTTAGCATTACAAGACTTCAGATTTACTACTGAGCCACCAAAAATGTATTAAAGAGCAACAAGTTATTATAATTATATCCATCACCTCTATGTTACTGAGAAACAAACCACTGTAGTTACATTCATCAGCCCTGTTTTGCAGAGAAATAAAATATTGCACTTCTGTGTTGCAAAATAATAAATTAAGGCAGTTAAGCCTATCAACTGTATATTACAGAGCAATATTGGCAGTTATTTATCAGCACTGCAATAAATTAAGGTAATTATGTCCAAAGTTATTTCTAACTATAGGTTTGATTACAAACTGTTAAAAAAGAAATCTGTTTTGAGAATATTAAGTATTTTGTTTTTTCAATTAAGTAACTAAATAACTGCATAATTTATTAGCCACATACAAATACATTATAAACTGAAACCTAAGAAATAAACAACTGATTTTCTTTTTATCCAGAGAAAAGCTTGTTTATATATTCATAACAATTAAGTTTTCATCTTTTTTTGTGATGTGTGATCTGGTACATTCAATAACACTGTTTAACATCAGTATACAGGTAACATCTAGTGTATCTAACATCATCTTGTAATATTAAAAACATATACCTTTTAGTAACTTCAACAGCACTGTAACAATAGAACAAATGTAAAATCTTGACATTAGATAACTTCATGAGACATTAGTAAAACTGAAAAGTATTGTTTAACATTAATAGAAAATGTAAATTTTGTACATTTAACAATATCATATAACATTATGTAACACTAGTAAAACTGAAACATATATAACAATAGTTAAAAAAACATAAATTTTGTACATTTTACAATATCATATAACACCTAATACCATAAATAATTTCACGTAATGTTGGTAGCTATGTAATGTTTACATTTTGCTCACCTCTGACTTTAGTTAGACGATTAATGAGAGCTTCAGTAGAAAAGAATATGCAGTGCAGAACAAAATCTTCTTTGTTTTCATGTAAACCTGTAAAACATTTGACTTTTTACACAACTATCACTTCTAAAATAATTTCAAAAATTATCATTCTCACCACACTTGTGAGTTAAAAACATCAATCTATTCATGACTTAATAAATATCTACTAATACTCTCACTACGTTAATATTTTAATAGAAACAAATGATTCCACATTTTTCTTTTTATTTCGATATCAACAGTGAGGTAGAGTAATAGTGTAAAATAATCAAAATAAAATTTATGATTGTCATTATGCATGGAATTCTAAGTTTTTCTTTTCTTTAAGCCTATGGTAAGCAAATGAAATGTTAGTTCATAATGATAATTCCTTGTTTAAACTCTCATTGATATAATATTAAACATTAATTAATCCAGGTTATATGATAAGAAAATAAGACTTACAGATTTTTACAATCCCTGTATCAATTCTTATTTTAAAATGCACAAAGAAACAACAACAAAAGCAGTAGCAAAAACATAAAGTATGGGAATTCACGAAAATATTAAATCTATACTGGAATACTTTCTAGCAGAACCTACCTATAAACTTTTAAAATGAAAACACATTTATAAAATAGTAACACTATTCAAAGGAAAATATTGAACACCGTAGTTTAGATAGATATTATACACAGCTACAAAAAACATTATAAATTTTTGAGAACTCAGCAATAAAAGACTGCTGCATAGGCATTAACAACTCTTTGAAAAAAGTTGCATAATTATGTGGTGATTTAGTTCTCAAAGACGACCATTATGTGAAAGGTCTAAACTTAGAAGTATTTATGTTAACATTTTCTTAAATTGAAAATGTATTTCCAGTAATACTTACCTCCTCTCACACTACAGCTATTACTCGCCTGCTAGGGTTTCCTTCTTTTGCCCAGCTAAGCATCATTGGTCTGATTTTTTCTTGCTTGCTCTAGTCTTTTATTCCCAACTTAATTGCCCTTGGTGGTATCTGTCTCGTGACATTCTCCACCTATGTCAATGCACCCTCTATTCTGGTGCTGCATATAAGCACCTCATTCAGATAATATTGTCACTTTTTCGAGAATGACCCACTCCACAGTCTCTGACACCAGCTCTTAATGGGGAGGAAGGGAAGGAGAGTGTGAACACAGGTAAGTATTATTGGAAATACATTTTTGATTTAAGAAAATGCTAACTTCCAAAACATACTTACCTCCTCTCACACTAAAGCTAGAATCCCACATTGATAAGGTGGAGGGGCCAGTGAGGGCATTATCCATACAGAATGCATCTGCATAGATGGTGGGCATGCCAACAGAAGATTAGCACTCCAGTGGAGGAACTGCAATACAGCTAGACAGGTATGCTCTTCACCCGGTACTTAATTCATGTACTATGGGTGGAATTTGAAGAGATCTGTCATCACTATCGGACAGGCCCCAACCAGGTAGCTGGGGTTCCACCGCTCTGGGTTGGAATTATACAGCCATGGTGGCTAGGGCATTTGGACTGCAATATATATACTTGGGAGTGGATCTCAACCTGTAGCTATAGAATGATGCATTCTGAGCCACTGGGATCATGACAAGAAGGTAAGCAACATCAAAATGGACAAACCCTCTCCTCAACTTGAAGAAGTCCGAAAGGCAACACCCCAAACTTGGAATGACAACATCCTGTATGTTATACTCAACCTTTGGAAACAGAACTCATCTGGTCTGGAATTGTGAACACTCATCCACACTCCTCAATCATGTTGACAAGGTAAATTCCACTAGTCCCAGGAAGTATGGGGAGAACATGGAACAATCTGTGTTCCACCAAGGACCCAGGATGAGACCACTTTGCATTTGTAATAATGAGCAGACAATGGATCCTCTTCCATGAAAAATGTACTGGAGCAATATTGATCAAGTATATTTTAAAAATATATTTAACAAATGCATACATATTTACATGTGATCTGTGTACATTTAAACAATATTCCTGATATTACATGTATATAGTATTATACAGGAAGGAACAGGCTTACAAGAATTGTTATGTTGTGAGTACCATCTACAAGCTAGCAAAGCATGATTATAATTATACTTGACATAAGACATTAGTATTAGGTCTATTATATTTTTTAACACTACATTCTTTATATAGTCTCTTAGGGATTTTCAAGAATTAGAAGAGTGTATAATAATAGTATTCCAACCATACCATGTTCACCATACCCACAAAGTATGGTTAAAATTCTATTATTCTTGAAAAACCCTAGTGGGTTAAATAAAGAATTATGTGGTTCACCTTCTCACTACTGGTAGGTCAGAGTATGCATGTCATGACCTTTTACATAGTTCAAAATTTAATTAAACTACTTTATCATCAATGTATACAAATAACTTTGGCATCAATAAATAACATTTTAATATTATATAAGTTTTAAGTTCTTAATATAATAAGGAAATATTTAAAAAATCCTCAATCTCCCCTAGTATGAGAATCATGGTATTTGTTCTCTAGGTCTTTCCTCTTTTCTAATTTATTTACTACTCCTTTCTGAAGTACGGAATTTAATGTAACCTATTCATTATAATACAGATATTACTAAGCCAATGCATAATTCTTATAGCCTTCAAACTTATTCGATGTGGAATCATAAACTAGAAAATCAAACCCACCTGTCAGATCCTCACTTTCCCAACTTCCCAATTCTGAAATTTTATACTATACATTTATAACCAATAGAAAGGAAAAGTTTTAATCTATCAAATGACATCTAATGCTATTGTTTTCAGTACAGAGTATTATTAATTTTATCTTTAGTTTGAAAGTTTATCTTGTATTGTTCAGATCAGCAGCAAAGGGAATTAATTCAAGCCTCTCTTTTCCTAGTTACAAAGCCAGTTAAATTATAATAGTTATAGAACATCGTCTGCTTTGTGCATGTTATTATTCTGAGTTCTTATGTGCATTATTTAAGTAAATGAAAATTATTTAGTGTACTAGTACCATCACTATAAAAAAGCAAGCTTAAATTTCATCAGCAACCAACAGCAAAACAAAAGGTCAAAGTACTATATTTCTAATTTTTCATGTATATTTTTTATTTATGGTTGTAAAGGTAATTAAAATATAAAAATTAGAAACTTATTAGTTTAGATAACATTAGATATGGTAAGATAATGAAAAAATTCTTCATGAGGTATGCTCACAAGCTGTTTATGCATTATTTCATTCAATACAGTGACATGAGCTACATGTTCGCCAAATGACTTACAACTTGTATGGCAGGATTATTAGTTAGATACAGTTCAAAAAACAATAAAATTATAAAATTAATTATAAACAGATGTAGACTGTTACAATCTTTAAGCTATTTAGGATAAACAATTGTAGTTTTTTGTTACAATCTGCAGTAATTTTAGACAGAAAATAAAAAGGTTGTATTTCATATTTTTTTACAAGGTCAGTTAAATAAACCAAGTCAGTATAGAGTTAGGGTGGAGAAAATAGATAGAAAACAGATAGAATATAAAGCTCTACTAAAAAACGTTTGACATTTATTTAGTAGACTTTAAAGATTATGCAAATACAATTTCGAAATTATCAGGTGAAGAAAAGTATTTTTAATCTTAACATGAAAACCAACTTGCACTAAGAGCAGTCAACACTTTGATTCCATACATTCATGGACAAATTTTTAGTAAAAATACTTAACTAAAAAAATCTGAGTTTTAGTGTACACAAGACTTGTAATTCTAATAAAAGCTTGCCAAATATTGTAAAGATACACAAAACACATTAAAAGTTATAGTACGAAAATTATGATGGTTATTACTTTGTGGTTACAAGGTTGGTTGCATTGCCTGACCCACCCCATATGGAAAGAGTTAAAAATATAATAGGCCTAATACTAGAGTCTTATGACAAGTATGATTATAATCAGAGTTAAAACAAGATGAATAATTACAAAGAAATCATACCCACCAAGCTCATCTGCATAACTGCAAGGAGGAAGCAGGATGTATTCTACACTGCTTTCACAACAACCTAGTGCCCCCTAAAGGAGAGAAGTACAAAAGTAACAAGCCACTGTAGTAATGTCTAATCAAATGAATAAAGTAAGCAGCCAACATTTTATTGCATAATTCAAAATGCTGTTCGACTATGCATGTAAACTGAAAATATTTCTAGTTTTTAAGAAGTATTTTTTATCTAATAGAATTTATTCTTTATTTTAATATTTCAAGTGTACACTTTCATTACAATCTTGTATTTGTTCAATTGAATACCTGTATTAGATAAAAACGATAATCCATTCAATACTTAAAGAAATTGTGTGTAAAATAAATATCAAACTTATTTCAAAGGACTTTTAGGAAACTAATAAAAATTGTTCTGGAATTAAAGGTTTCCATTCACATGCCTGGAGTGTAAGAGTAGATGATGTCTAAGTTTCGACATTGATGTCTTTATCTGATAAATGCCTCACTACAGAGACTGAAACAATGTCTTCGCCTACAATTCAAGCAGCTGCAGTTTATAATAAACTTCAAATAAAGTCTACTTATTATATTTTGTTTTTTGTGACATTTCCAGTAATTGTCATTTATCAAGCTCTGATGTAAAGGTTACCCAAAATTTTGCAAGAATCAAAATAAGTTAGGCATATTTTTTTTTATATATGTGTAGCAATCCAGTACTTATTTAGATGCAAAATAAAATAAACTGACTTACAACTTTTTCATTCTGTAGATAAGTTACAAAATCGTTGAATCCTCTGTGGTTACAGTGAGGTCGCATCTGAAGGTAAGTAAAATAAGATCCTCCCATAAAAACCTCCTGGTAAGGGTTTATTGACATGACTTGATGTAAAAGCTGATCCTTTATGGCTGTTATTGGAACTTTTATCGATACATTCAACCGAGAGGGTCTACAGAATAAATATAAAGTATACCAAATGGTTGAATTTTTTTAAATATTACTTGTGAACACTATATTTACACTTGGGAAAAATCACATGTCAACTGTGTCACAAAAGTGATCAGATTTCAACACAAGAACTGAAGACTTTACTGAGCCATTAGTTTTATTTTAATAGCTGAATTATTTTGTTGAAAGCAATCTACTGAGCTTAAAGCACCAATGTTATTTTTCAGATAAAGTTAAATAATTGTGACTGTTTATGTAATACTTTATTATTAATTAGCTATCCTTACCTGGGTATTACCTGAACAGAGGGTCGATGTTTAGTTTTTTTTAAACAAAAAAGTTTGAAATTTTGCTTTTCATGTAACAATACCTGTCAAATGGTCATATTTTCTGCAAAATAAATGGTTTAAGAGCATAAAAATTAAAGAAAATATACGAAATTTATTGTATAGTTCAAAACAGTCATTGCAATGCCTCTGGATAAATGACATTTTTGGTTTCTTGTGGAGTCTCACTCTGTAATTGTTGTTGCAAAAATTTTGCTACTTGTGACTGGCAATCAGAATTGTTTTTCTTTTTCTTTACATTTTACTCTGAGGTACATAATCAGCATCAGAAATATTTATCATACCTAACTCCCCTCTCCCCTCCTAAAATAAAATGAATAAAAACCAATTTATTTTTGGAGAATTTTGCGGGTTCAACTTGTCTATTCTATAAAAAAGTTAGTCTTGTTTGTCCACAGACATGTCTGCATTTGATAGATTTTTATTGTGACACGACAACAGCAGCACACCTCTCTGTACAGTATACTTAAATTTTTCTGGCATCATATGCAGTTAAATCAAACTAAAAATCTGTGGAAAAAATTAGATTACAAAGTTTTCATTGATGCTAAAAATGTGACATCACAGACATTAAACCTGGGTATTCTGATTCCATATCTTTATAGGCTTACTATTGTAGGGGCTAAAAGGTGTGAACAATGAGAAACAAACTTAGCTTGAAGAAAGTCTTGCATCATTCGTATCCCCTTCAATTTTTTTAAAATAAGGTCAAATTTGTTTTTTCACTGCAGGAGTAATAACGAATGATATTCAAAAGATTTTGTATCAATATGTTAAAAAGACAGTTCTTGTGCAAAAATGTTAAATAAAATAATAAAACGAAAAT